ATTCTGGGAGTTGAAGTCCACCCGTCTTAAAGTTGCCAAGGTTGAGGAGCCCTGCTTTAGACAAAGAAGTCTCTTGCTCACTTGTGTGAGAAATGTTATCTTCTGCCTTGGAAAATCCTGAGCAAGCAAGAGGATGGTCAAGATCACAATAGGACTAGTACCAGCAACAGCAGGAATAAGAACAATAGCTTTATTGAGAAACCCACAAAGATAGAGGCTGAGTTCCTTCCACAGACTCAGTCCCTGGTGAGTTCAATAAACAACATACAGCAACCCTGAGAAATTAAAGCACGGTGGTGCCCTGAAGCAAATGTTCCAGAGTTCCAGGCAGGATTTGGTTAACTCCAAGGGGCGAAGGGGGCGGAGAAGAACCAACCAATCCCTGTTGTAATTCCAGAGCAAAGGCAAGGAAGCTCCCCCTTGAGGTCTCTTTAAGTAATGCAGCAGTTCACATCAACCAGCTTCAGCAGTTCTGTTCCTGAACGTCCAAATTCACTAGAACTAGAAAAGCATCTGGCGATCACAGTCAAGTGGGGGAGCCAGAAAGGAAGGAGAGGGCCTTTGCTTCTACCATTGTGGGTGCTGGTTCTCTTCCAGATCATTTCCCAGGTTCCTGGTTTTGGGCATTTGGAGCTCCAATTATTTTGATGCCCTACCTTCAGTCCCTATTGTTACTAGGCAATTCATGGCTATCCGCTACCAAGCATCTGGCCAGCAAGAGGTACGTTGTTATTCTTTGCACACAGAGGGTGGCATGAGCAAAAACAGCAGGATTTGAAGGGGTTCAGTCTATATACCAACGAGCTGTCCAACACATCGCTCCAGTTTGAAAGCGTGGAAATGATGATATAAAGCAAAGGGGGGATCAGAGGAGGCAACAGAGGCACTTCTCCTCACCAAGCCTGTTCACCAAACAGACCCCAGTGCTCCACTGGCTTTTTCCCATCACCAGTCTCAACATGTAAAAAGTGTATCCCAACCCTGAAAACCCCAGAGAGGGATGACCTGAGTAAGGGAAGAGAATGGGAAACAGTGATGGGAAGGCAGTGCCCATCTGGCAGCTGTGTCATTCCCTCCCAGGTGGAAGCACGTGTCCCAAGCGTTGCACCCATCCTTGTCCCCTCAGGCCTGCACCTGCCAGACAATGAGATGGCTTCGCTCTGCTCGACGGAGACGTGGGTTCGGGTGTAGCAGGTCCCCATAGTGCTTATCTGTGTTGTCTCCTGGACATGGAGGAAAACAGTGGCCACGTGAGAAGAGGTCAGGTCTACCCCAAGCATGACCAAGAAGGACTCTTCTTTATAAAGGAATCCCAATCCAGTTTCCTCCCCAGGTGTGTTAACTGCTGGATTACACCTCCCTAGCATCTCTGGCCATTGTCCAGAGTGGCTGGAGTTAACGCTGAGCCACCTCTGGAGCACTGGAACTTCTCCATCCCTGCTTACCTATACGGAGATTAATATATCCTTCCCCTCCACTTAGCACCAAGCTGCATGGTTTGCTTGGTTCCTCTTGGCTGTGCGAATCCTTGAGGTTTTCTGAAGCAGGCGGGTTCACACAGCCTAGAATAATGAAAAGCAGTCAGAGCTATGCATATCCCCAAACCACCAAAACTGAAATGATGATGGTGGTGATAGTGATGATGATTTCCAGGCCTGTTCTGGATAGGAATAGCAGCCTTTGAGTGTTTGGATGCCAAGACTGAGACGATGACACCCTCAGTATCACACCTGATGCTTAGAACAAACTTCCTTTCTCATCAGCAGATAGTTGGATTGGCCTCCATCTGAAATCATGTTTTTCCTTCCAAAGATCAGTCCAGTGGGATCACCCCAAAAGTCACAAAATTCTGTCCCACTGCAGTTGCAAGTAGAAGAGGATGAATTTGACCAGAATGGCTTTTGATCCAGCTCTAGGTATTCCGGTTTGATTAGACCAGTGTTTCTCAGCCTTGGCAACTTGAAGATGAGTGGAATTCTGGGAATTGAAGTCCACACATCTTCAAGTTGCCAAGGTTGAGAAACACTGGATTAGACTCACCCACAGAAACCCTCCTATTCCCATTCTCCTTTCTCTTTCAGCCGTTTTTACTTTTTCTTTATCTGTTGTTTTCTCTATTTATATGATCTACATTAGCTATTTCTTTCTTTTTTAAAAAATGTCTTCTTGCTGTACGATAGGATAAATTGTCTTTTGGTCTATGACCAAATAAATAAATAAGGCACTTTTAGAGCTCTGGCTAACATATTTTATTCTCCTATGTATTTTAATGAGTTGCATTTTAGGCAATGAGGCGAGGTAACACTTAAACTGAAAATGAATTGTTCCACCCTACCCATTCTAATTGTTATTTAGGTTAGGTGTTTTATTGATTTTAGCTCTTTTATTGTTTTTTTTAAAACTTGTATTGTGAATAACCCTCAAATAAAAGCTAATGAAGGCAGTATATCAAAACTGTTTTGTAAACAAGGCCATTAAACATTATTAGCTAGAAAAAATATATTATTAGCTTGCATTTTCAGAAGGACCCAGGGGAGGGTGACCTTCTCTGCAACCAACATGGAAATGCAGGTTATTCACCCTGAGGCAGGTTAGATGTCTTCCAAGCAGAATGGTAAAGAAAGGATAATTGCCCACTAATTCATCTATATGGACTTTCTAGTTGCCTCTGCCAATCTGGCAATTTGTTATATACATGGCCACAGATGTGCTCAAAATAAACAAAGTAAACAATCCATAAAAAAAAATAAACGAATTTAGATAAGCGGCAGTTCAGGATCCTATTTCCTGCTGCCCCACCCATGAATCAGAATTATAGAAAAGATGCAACCCTTATACCAGTGTTTCTCAACCTTGGCCACTTGAAGATGTGTGGACTTCAACTCCCAGCCAGCAAGGAATTCTGGGAGTTGAAGTCCACACATCTTCAAGCGGCCAAGGTTGAGAAACACTGCCTTATACAATGGTACAAAAGCCAGTTTTTCTTGGCGTAGAATCTCCACCCTTTGCTAACACTGAGTAAAGACATAGTCTGCTGTCATGCAATGCAAGACATCATATTAGCCAACCACTGAAGTTTTGCTCACTTCACTTAAAACATAGCTACTATTTTAAAGGTTCCGTCCAATTTTGGGGGGATATCTATTTTTTTGTTGATTTAAACTTTAAAAATACATTAATCCAGTCTCACCTAATCTGGCATTTTCTGCCCATAGTTGGTCCCAAACTCTAAACATTCCCAGCCAAGATGCTCAAATGAATGCCTTGTTTATCACCACCCCCACTTCCTTCCTCCTCCTCTGTTGTTTCTCCTACGCCAGGAAAATCTGTAAACATCTCAGGGAAGAAACCTGTCAGACTTTGCTAAAGTGCCATGCCCATGGGTGTTCCTTCCTGGCCCAGAATTCCTCCTCCCCAAAAAATCAAGAAATGGGTTTCTGGTGTTTCTTGAAGACTACCTGGGACAGAGACGAAGAAACGGACAGCATCGCGGTGCCCATGGTAGCTGATCTGGGCTTGCTCCATCGCACAATAAGGGATACCAGCAGAGGCAGAAGTCTTCAAGCTTTCAGAAAATTCTGTAGAGAAACAGGAAAAGCCATCACAGCACTGAGCAGCACAGCTATGAAATTTCTCACAACCAGAGGGACATGTATTTGCTTACCAGAGACAAAAGGCACAGATATAATGGTGCCACCGGATGTGCCAACCCACAGTCGCTTTCCAAAAGCACTGAGCGCAGAGATATTCAAGGCCAAACTAATGCTGCTGGGCCCTGGAGGATGGGGAAGAGAGGGCATGGGTAAGCTCGTATATATGCTTTCCCCAACTGGGGCTCTGTGGATGTGTTGAGGCACATCTTCTCCAAAGGTCATCAGGACTGGGAATTCTGGAAGTTGTGCACCCCAACCTGTGCACCAAGCTGGGGAAGGCCATTCTTCGTAACAAGAGCATCATCATCATCAATTACATTTATATGCCACCTGATTCCCAATGATTCTGGGCAGAACTCCTGTCTAAGTCCACACATGATGTATGACAAGAACAGGATTAAGCAACCTATGTCTCTCCAAGTATTGTTAGATGACAATTTCCACTAGCCCCAGCCAATGTGGGCCATGGGAAGAGACACTGGGAGGTACAACATCTGAAGGAAGTAAATCCTGGCCTAGGAGTTCTGCCCACAACAGACGATCTGAGAAATGGCATCCACAATAGCTAAGCAGCTTTCTATAAAGACTTCTAATCCTTCAAGAACCCTCCAGCCCTGCACATTCTTCCAGCTGCCAGAACAGCTTGCAGATCCTGTCCTGCCTTGCCCACTCCTTCCCACCCTCTGCAGTTTCCGCTATCCTGCCTCTTGGTGCCCTCTGGCTCCTGCCACTCACCAAGCACACGGCTGATGAAAGGTTCCAGCTCCACTTCCTGCAGCGGCTGCCCTGTCTCCGCATGGAGAAGACGCAGAGTGGTCTCCAGACGGACTGAAACCCAGATGCCACCACCAGCTGCTGCCATGTGCCGGACGTGGCTTTCAGGGTGCGAAGTCACTTCAAAGTACCGCTGGGGGGAAGGAAAAGAAGTTGGTGGTAGGGAACAAGATTCAAATGACAATTTTCTCTGGTGCAGGTGCAGGGAACCAATGACCTGCCGACTGGGCGAGGACCTTTTTATATGTCTGATGCACCCTAAGATCACTCCTGAAATCCAGGGGAAAATGCCAAATTTCTGTAGTACAATTTTGCAGCAAAATGTCTTTCTGGCATTTGTCCCACTTGGCTGCAGGGTCTGCTTGTTTGTGTTGTGTTTGCCTCGAACACACAGTGGAGACATCAATGGACAATGCAACAAGGTTGCCCAAATCTGATCTACACTGATGGCATTTGGTTGTCCATGGTATCGGGCATACTATCCAGTATGGCATTTTCCTTACTACCCACCTAAAGCCCTGTCAAAAGATTGGCCAGACTTTCCCAAACTGGTATTCTCCTGGTGTTGGGATAACTCCCATCATGCTCAGTCACTGGTAACACATCTGGAGGACACCAGGTTCCAAAAGGCTGTTTTGATCCTTCTTTCTCCAAGGTCTTGGACTTTATACGCAAGCTATATTATTGCAAAACTGATCTCAGCAATTCATCCTTTGTTTGCACCGATTTGGAAGCTGCAGCACCTCTAGATAGTATCCACCAAGTCCCAAGTTTTGTAAAAAGTAAGTTAAAAAACTAAAAATGCCTGAAAACTGAAAGAGGAGCATGGAATCTATTAAAAATTTAGATGCAATGGATTCCAGCCGCCTGAGCCTGTCCCAGCCCCACCTGAGTCTCTCACTGTACAGCTTCTTGGCTTCCACAGCTTCTAATAATTGTCTCATGTCCTAACAGGCTCACCTGAATGCGAGCAGTACGAGGATCCAGCACATAGATTCGATTTCCATAACCACACCAGAGCCAGTTAAGCACAGGGAGGGTGCAGCGAATGGAGCGCCGTGGCCTTCCCAGTTCAACCAGGCGTGGCGAGTGCAGATCCCAGTTTCGATCTAAGAGAAGACAAGTGTCAAGCCCCACACAGCTGGGCAAGATCGAGGAAGCAAGATCTACACGGACTTCAGTAAGGTATCTTTAATGCTAGTCTCTGGATAACTACAGAATCTTGGAAACTGCAAGAAGAATTTCCAGCCCTCCTTTACAATGAGTTTGTTAAGGCAGAATCTCTTTGAAATGCTACTTCCCAGAGTTCTTACTACCTGGGCTTAGCTGCTGTTTATCAGACAGGCTGGCTGCCAATGGACTCACCTTCTGTCTCTTGATTATTTATGGCTATTTACCCTTCTGTTCCTTTCCTACCCTTCATACAGTCTCTCTCATCAAGAAATTAATGACAAGGTCGCAGCCATGGGGGAAATGGGGTGGGAAAGAATGCAAGCAGCAGGACATACCTGCGTTCCGATGGAATATAGCTAGAGATCCATTAGCAAGGGCAGCTACAACGCGGCCTTGGGTATGCCTGGAACAGACAGGGCAGAATAATACAAAGGGACATTTCAAAGCACTCGAAGCGGGAGGTGGGCAGCTTCCACCAGGGATACTCAGTGGGGCTTCCTCAGCTTCCACCCGTGTGGCAAGGGTTGCGTACTCACACAATACAATGGACAGCCTCCTTCAAACATGCTTTGCCTTGGCAGCGTCGCCAGTCAGTCGCAGCGCAATGAATATAGATACTGCAAAACAGAAACAGCAGAATGAAGTGGAGAGAAATATCCAACAGAAGTACCAGAACCCTCCTCCCAGTTCTGCCATTGGCCCAGGACCAGTTTCAGCTGGGACTCCTAGCTCCCCACTCACCAGCTGTTCACATTTGGCAGACAGCATTAAAGTCTCTACTATCACATTGCCTTTACACTACTGGGCATATCCAGTGTAAAAGCAAGGTGAGCTTCAACTTCTGCCCAGCATGGCAGATGGACCTTTAGTGTCTAACAGTAACAACAAGAAGAGGTTGGTAGGAGGAGAAGAGGAAGGCAAGAAGAACCAGAGGCTGTCTGAAGCAGTTCAGCATGGACCATGCAGGAATGGTATCTTAGATCAGACACATTCATTTCTTCCCCACTTTGGTCTCAATTACCAGCCTTCCTGGGTCCCAATCCAGACAGTGGGTTCTGTGCCAACTGCCTCCATTTCCCTTGCTTCTTCATGGCTGTCGGATCTGGGTGCCAAGGGGTCTTCAAGGATCTCTGGCTCCACCACTGGGTTTTCACCAACAGATACTGTCAGCCCTAGAGAAGAAGAGGGAAAGCAACGTTAGGGAAGGCAAAGCATTTCCACCAGGGACCCACAACAAATTGGGGCCTTGCTTTGAAATCTCGCAGCCAGTTTGAGTCTCCTTCAAAGCAACTAGACCAGTGTTTCCCAACCTCAGCAACTTTAAGATGTGCAGACTTCAACTCCTAGGCCATTCTCTTTTTCAGGGACATGTAGACATTCCTGAGTTTGAGAATAAATATCAAAAATCCACAAAGCACTGAATAATGAAAGTATCAATCTAGAAAAGTCTCTTTGGAAGAAAGCCTTAGACTTCTTTTGTATAGGAGCCTGTCTTAGACCAAGTCCACGTGGCCAAGTACGGTCAACATGGATTAAACAGCAGTTCTCCAGGTTTTCAGGCTCTGTGGCTAAGCTACAATTTCCTTCAAAAGTAGGTTAGACTGAGATTTGAAACCAGGTCTACTTGCACTTGAAACTCATATCGCTAAGCCAAACAACCAATGTATTCAAAACACATATGTCCATCCAATTATTGTGTCATATAAAAGAACTGCAGGTTTGCACATAGACTGGAGTCTTTGGCTGAGTTTGCATGACAGGTTCAACCAGGTCACCTAAAGACCAACTGACTCATTGGTACATTAATTTTAGTTTATTTTAACCTTGGTTTGGCCATGGCTTAGCGTGTTTTGCAAACTCGTCCCCTTTGGTTAGTTTAGGATTCAATTTATTGTGGAAATCCAGAAAATGAGTTAAACCTGGAGAGATCCTTCCTATGACGACAGACCCCCCACTCAAGGGATGTCTGCAACTCACACCAAACTTTTGTAGCTCCTAGAATTTATTTTATTTATATTTCAAATTTAGCCACCACCCTTCTCACAAGGAAGTGACTCTGGGCGGTTTACAAAAAGAATACCCCCAGTGTGAGCAGAATCAAAATTTGAGTGGGAGTGGGAGTGAAAAGGATTTCTTAGTATTCTTGTACCCATTATGCCCCTTAAATTCCCCACAAACCTTCCCCAAACCAGGTTGATTTTTCCATTAAATCTCATTCCCAAAACTCTTCATCAAAAAAATGGCTGAAAGTTTTGGCCCTATCTACCCACGATCTCATGACTTCACCTCTCACAGAAAGTCTCTCACTCCTGGGTATTTGGACAACAGAATCCCCTACTGTTCTCCCTGCTCCTTAGCATAGTTTGTCAAATCCCACCTCCCAAATGTTCCCCTGTCCTTCTTCTCACTGACCAGGAACACAAGCAATGGAGAGGACGTGAATTCCAGGCAGCACAAAATGTTCTAGGAGCTGATTAGTATTGGGGGCATCGAAGAGCGTCACTTCGCTGGCGGAGTGGGTCCCAGCAGCCACCCACAACTGAGAGCTGCCGGTGGAGCAACAATGGGGGTTACCCTGAAAGGAAACGAAGAGAAGGGTCAGAAAAAGGCAGGCATTCCTAAAGCGCCATTCCCACCACCTTCGGGCCACCCATCACTTGCAGTTCCCAATCTGAAATCTTAGGCAGGCGGGCAAGAAAGTTTACACAAACTGGAAAGGTTTTTTTTTTTAACTGTCTAGCCCTCATCTGGGTTCTGTGCCACAACGTGCACTTGCTCAGGCAAACACAATAGATAACTATTACTTGAGAATGTAACTTTTCAAGGCCTGAATTGTCCAGTAACAAGAACTGAGACCAATAACAGAATTGTAGATGGGAAAGGGAAAGACAACTGTTCTCCATCTTGGCGCCATTCCAGATATGTTAGAAGGACATCATCTTTCCCATAATTCTCAGCCACCATGCTGGTTAGGGAATTCTGGGAGTTGCAGCTCCCAGATATCCAGAGCACACCCAGAAGATTCAGGGAAGGCTGGATTACAGACGGACAGCATAAAGAAATCCCAAGGGTGAAAGGGTCTGTGCTGTGCAAATCTGCAAGGGAGCAAGTTCTCAGGACAGAAGTCGGTCAGTGCTTACAACCTGTGGTGCTTCTTGAGGCTCCACCCCAACAGATGCTGCAGCACACCAGAGCTACAATAAGAGAGAAGCAAACATGAAGTTGATATCCATTCATTCCTTTGCTAGGGTTGATGCAGAATTTTCACCTGACCTGCACCCAGAAGTGTTTGCTGCAGGAATTCCTAAATCAGATCACCCAAGAGAGGCACCAGAGACATTAAAACTTTCCTCTGAGCCTACAGGAGACTGCTTGGGATCTCTGTGCGATTTCTCTGGTCCACTTTGCCTCCCTTCCACTCATTCTTGATCGGGGTTGTAATCCTCCGGAATCCGATGAGACTGTCCCATCCAGATCAGTCGTAGCACAGACACACCACAGACTGGCCTGCCCCCTACTTCTCTGCATTCTCTGCTCTGACTTCTCCAGTTTTACTCCTACCGCCTTTACCACAAATCTCTTTTATTTGCAGGCTACCGCAGTGAATCACACTAGCCTTAGTAGGATTTACGCAAGTTTGCCTTCCTTTTTAATTTGGGAAAAAGAAAAAAAAACAAAGACACATCCCGCAACTGTTCAGGATTTGGAGACAGCCTGCTTCATCACCTTGGTACTGGGGTCCTTCTGGTCCAGCATTCGCAGCTGCGCAAGAACAGGCACATCAGCAGTTCCTGAAGGTAAGTCATGGCCCTGCAGCAAAACGTTAACCCCACATTAATGGGCAGAAACTCAGTTTGAAACGTTAATGGGTCCCAATGGAGGATAGGACCTTTTTTACGGGGTGAGAAAAAGTTAAAAAGTTAAGACCCCATACACCCCCCTCATTAATTCAGAAGATCCATGCCACGGCTTTGTTTTCCACATGGATATCACTCCATTGCCCATTTCAGGAGTGATAAAACACGCATGTCATAGTAGTCTTCTCCCAGGGCTTTGGTGAGGGGGACGGAAGCCCCTTTTAGTTTAGGTGGGTTGTTTTTCTTTGTGCCCATCCAGTTTTGTCATTCTGGCTGTCTTTACTCTTCATTTTTGTCTTTTGTTGTTTCCCTTTTGTTGTTGTTGTCTCTTTTTTAAAACAATGTGTAAACTGCCCAGAGTTACTGGATGTGGTGGAGTGGAATTATGAAGGCCAGGCTCAGGGAGATAAACATTTTCTTAGCTCGCCAGAACCGCGTGGGAGGATAAAGGGGATGAGACGGGCACTTCCCTGAGGAATTCACACTGTTGTGGCTGGGGGACTTTGGGGACTGGGGGTTTAGGCTGGGGAGGTTCTTGCTAGAGGGTGGAGGTAATAAACAAAACTGGGCTGAATTTACAAGGGCTCTTTGAGGTTCTTG